AAAAAAAAAAAAAAAAAAAAAAAAAGAAAAAAAAAAAAAAAAAGTATTTTTTTAATTAAATAAGTATATATAATCTCCCATCATTTTAAATAGACATGTTCTCTATATTGATAATGTATTTGAAATATAACAAATAATTCTTAAAAAAAAATATTAAGAATTTTTTATATTTCATTTGTTTTCGAAGAAATTGAATAAGAAATAATATATAACAGAAATAATTTCACATATTTATGAAAGTAATAGATAAGCATCATTGAAAAATTTTTTTGTTATTAAAAAACATATGGAGTAATATATTTTCTAGGGTTTATATGAAAATGTAATTTAGAGCATTAAATAAACTCAAAATTATGTGTAATTATATCTTACAGAATTTATTTCTGAAAGTACAAATTTAATAATAAAAATGAAAAAAAAAAATATAATTTCACATAAATATTGTTAATGTATATATATATATATATAGATATAGATATATATTAAAATTTACAAGAAAAATTATTAAAATTAATTATAATATTGTTAACCTTTTAGAATTTATTTAGATAAATAAGTAAATTGTAAAATAAAAAAATGAACTTTTTTTTTTTTAATTATTTGAATAAATTAATTGAATCAAAAAAGTTAAATTATAATAAAAAAAAATAAAATAAAATAAATAAATACAAAATAAAAAAAGAGAGTATATGTAAGCAAGGATTTTATATCATATTATTATTTCTTCTAGTTATGTTTTTACTATATTAAAAGTAACAAAAAAAAAAAAAAAAAAACTAAATTAATATCATATATATTTATAATCAAATAGACGAATATAGATAACTACTAAAATAGGAAGTGTGTTTTTTATTAGTTTAAATATAGACTCTTACCAAAAGTCTCATTGAAACGTATATGAATAATTTGGTAATATAAACATAAAGTTATTTATTTTTTTTTTTATTTAAATATATATGTTAAAATTTCATTACTATTGTTTTTGTTATAAATGATAATATTGTGAATGCATACCTTACATTGTTTTAATAATAACGATTTAAACAATATTATTATATAAAGAAATAATTACATTCTTTTAAATATAAATGCACAAGACGGATATTTAAACATAATGAGAATATATTTTGTATGAATTAATGAAAAATATGTTGTCTTTTATAAAACATTATATATGTTTGTAGCACATTGTTTAATTTAAAGAATTATTTTGAAATATAGAATTTTCATGTGCATAAACAATTTATTATTGAGATTTATTTTACATTTACATTGAAATAATTGTAAAATAATATTTTCTTAGGATAATAATCATATAATATTTCTCAAACTTTTTTTTTTAATTTTTGTTTGTTTCATATTAATATTAACACTTATATATTTTTTTATTTGTGTTTACTTATTCAGATTTTGTCAGCATATGAAGGAGATAATGGAAATCAACAGCAATTATTCAAAATGTGAAAAAATAGGAAATAACAATAACAACAATAGTGCTACGTATTTTTGTAAAGGGAAAAAACAAAACCTAAATGAAAATTCGAAGAATTATGAATGGAAAGTTAATAAAAATAATCAAAGAAAAAACAAAAAAAAAAATTATCATAAACATTCAAATTATTACAATAAACAAAAAAAAAAAAAAAAAAAAAAAAAAAAAAAAAAAAAAAATTTTAAAAAAAAAAAAAAAAAAAAAAAAAAA